AGTATAGAATCATGTAAAGTTCACATTATAGACTAAACTGAACATTTCCTGTTGAACATTCCATCAGGATTAATCTTTGGGGAAAATATCTGCACCAAAGTTCACGGCAGTCTATCCGATAGTTGCTCCAATAGTTTGGTTTGGAACAAAGTGGACGACACACTGGAGCCCTGCTGCAACGTGGTCTCCTGACAGTACCGTGCCTTCGCCATTGTTCTCAGGGATACAAGCTAAAAACAGCTGTGATCAATAAAAAAAAATTAAGAAAATTACAGACCTCCGTAAATCATCCACCACACAGCACACTGAGATCTGAATCACGCTCATAAAACGTTTTATTGTGCAGCCCTATGAATTATTACTTCAAATGCTTTTGTGTGAAAGAATACAAATAGGTGCACGCTGAGTGTCGACAACAGCGTCGGGTGCACGAAGTGAGCCGCACGTTATCCTTCTACCGAGTGAAAAATGGCCTGGACGCACACTGACCGTGACTAACAGGCTGAGCCATTTCCCTTTTGATTAATGAGAAGTGGAAACCCCCTCCTGAGTCCAAAGATCATTAGTGAATCACCCCTCCAAAATAAGAAAGCCACAGTGAGGACTCTTGGTTCACAGCTCTCCCTCTCAGGTTTTAAGGCTCCTGGCGGCTGGCCCCTGGAAAACTGGGACATTATGAAGCGGGAACAGCACAAGTCTGATCTGACAGGGATATAAATCTTCAAGCATAAAGTTTTATTTTGGAAACAATTAATTCAAACGCATTAAGATTTTCCACAGCCTGATAAATCCAGTGACAGTGGGACAGGACGTGGCGTCTCTCAGCTAAGAAATGACAGAAAACGGTTTTACTGAACTTTAATGAGTACAACATGTAGTTTTAATCCCGCTGCCACACCGACATGGTTCAGGTCTGAAGCGTCACGTTGTGTGGAGGTGGTGTCACATCGCTCTCAGCAGATGATTCTGGTTTCAGTCCAACTTGGAATCGGACCCTGCAGCCACAGATGGGTGGTATTTACACTTCTCTTTTGAGCATTTAAGTGGATTTTTTTAATTTCTAACAGTTTGGCCAAGTAACTTTAGTAAAGTTCTACATTTCTGTAATTTTCCAGATTCAGAAAATTCAAAGCACATGGATTTGAAGGAGATCTCTCGTCTGGTGCAGAGCAGTCTTTCACTCCCTGCGCTGTTCCCATCTGTTCCCAATGCTGTGATCTGAATGGACGCTGCGGGTCTGCAGCTCTGTTTTCATTCACCTCACTGCCCATCAACACCTCTCTCCTCGTGGGTGTCATTACACCCTTTCAGATTAGCCTTGTCACTGATGAGCTCATGCTCCAACATTAGTAGCAACTAGTGACGACTCGCCTTCACAGATCTACAGCTTCATCCAGGAGGCCTCAAATGATCAGGATGTGCTGGCTGAGACTCTGCAGTGCGAGGTCTCCAGAGGCAAACACGCACGGAGGTTTCAAAGCTGGAGCACTAAAAGCACCGTTATTGCACTTTATTCTTAGAGCTAGGGCCCATTCTCATCGTCACCGGCTGTCATGCATGGTGTGAGATAACACTACAGCAGTGTGGCTCCCTATCATCCACATTTCCTCTGGTGAACTCGGTGCCAAACACAAACAGTCGAACTCCCAGGAAAGGCCGGCTGCAGAGGGAGCTGACGAAGCCCAGACCTGCAGTCTGATTGGGGGGGGGGGTTCTGACACAAGTCCTTCTCCAAGGACCGTATGAATAACAAAATTAGTGCTGAATTGATTTAGTTGATTAACCAGATTGACAATCAGATCAGCTGTCTGCAGCTCCTGATCAGCTGGAAGGACAAACTGTCTTCATCACACAGGCCGACATCAGAAACGTACTAGACATCAATCGTTTTATATGTAGGCTCATGTTTGTATGGATTTGTTAGTTTGATGACTTTCCCCAGCTTGAAACACAAAATAAACCCAAGAAGTGACACCAGGAGCCTCATCAATCATAACTGATACCAGTACAAAGACTGCAGCAGAAGATAACTGGGGATAACCTTGTGATTCTGAGTTATCAGTTCAGCATGTTCACACATGGAAAGAAAATGTGCTTCATTTACTCAGCAGATAAACAGGCTCCCTCTGCACCGCGTACCACTGTCGGCTCTGTGCCGGCAGCAGAGGCAAAGTGCTGGCTCACGTGACTTGTGTGGATCTAAATCAGGGGTGGCCAATTCCAGTACTCGAGGGCTGCTGTCCTGCTTGTATTCCAACTATCCCTGCTGGAAGATACCATCTTAGATGAGAGTGAGGAAAGATTAAATGAATTGGTATCTTCCAGCTTCTGACTGACTAAACACACCTGAGCCAGGTAATCAGCAGCAGGTCAGGCAGGGATAGTTGGAAAACAAGCAGGACAGCGGCCCTGGAGGACTGGAATTGGCCACCCCTGGTCTAGACCTAAACGCCACGTGAACATATGTCTGAGTGCCAACACACCCGCACATAAGCAAAGACACATAATGACATGTCAGGTTGAGACAAACAGAGACAGATCAACACGTTTGTCCTGCAGTGCTTGTAAAAACCACCTGTCCCAGCTTCTTATTCTTCTTAATTCCTACATTTCCCAGAATACCTATGACAACCCACGGTGAAGCTAGGCTTCCTGTTGTGGCTGGTTAGCGCCGACCTGTTACATTAGCTCTGGCCCCTCGAGGTAGTGCAGTAATACATTCATTCATTCATTCATTCATTTTCTACCGCTTAGTCCCTGAGCGGGGTCACGGGTGGGGCCGGAGCGAATCCCGGCCAGCAATCGGGCGAAGGCGGGGTACACCCTGGACAGGTCGCCAATCCATCGCAGGGCTAACACATAGACAAACAACCACACACACGCACATGCACTCCTATGGGCAATTTAGAGACACCAATCAACCTAAGCTGCATGTCTTTTGGACTGTGGGAGGAAGCTGGAGTACCCAGAGAGAACCCACGCAAGCACGGGGAGAACATGCAAACTCCACACAGAAAGGTCCCAGGTGGGGCCCGAACCTGGAACCTTCGCGCTGTGAGGCAACGGCGCTAACCACTGTGCCACCGTGCTGCCCTGCTGTAATACAGTACTCTCCATTTCACAAGGACACACATTGTGCTGCTGGTTGGCGTTCAGAGATTCTCTCCCACTAATAAAATGTTTGCCCAATAAAAACCAAAGACAAGCAATCTGGCCTGACTCTAAACCTGCCAAACTCAGTTTCAGATCAGTTTATGATGTAATCTGAGAAACAATTACTCTTTAAAACAGGCAATGTGTTAACGCCCTGTTGGGTCTGTAACGAAGGGTCTTAGAGTGACATCTGTCACGCTGCATGCTGTTTTACTAACGCCATTACAACATGTAGGCTACAACACGTCTTACTCTGATTCCAGAAGTCATTTGTTTGCCTTCAGCTGCAGGGGAGACCCAGCCACGTAGGGTTTCCCACAACACAGGGTGTTAGGTGAAGTGACAATTGCAGAAAATTGAGTTAAATTTACCTTCAAATGCTTTGCTGTGGTTGACTGGAAATGTCTGGCAGGAAGGCAGACATACACTTAGGTGTGGCTCCACCACAGAAAAGCTGCAATGAAAGACAGCTGAAAATGAGCTGGTAAAGCTCTTTGTCAGAATTACAGTGAGACCGACCCAAACGGCAGATAATTAGTGGTAATATTATCGGCTGTAGGTTGTTCACAAAGAACTGCCCTCATGTTGGGAAGGACAAGCCTTTCAGAAGCCTCTTTACCAAAGGATTAACCAGCTAATCACAAAATAGTCGAGTTTAATTGAAGACAGAAAAACTGTTGCATTATTATGGAAGTGCTGTGTTTACAGATTTAAAAGTTTATGTCCCCACATGTATCAAATACAAGGCTTATCCATGGGTTTGACGTAAAAAAAATATATCCTGCATGGCCGACAGTAATTCACTTAAGCAGCTTAAAGATGAAAGATGAGAAATGATCACAACCAGTAGACTGTTTACAGAGAAAGCCTACTGGGAAAAGACCCAAGGGCCCCAAAGGGTCAGGAGGCCCCTGGACCACACACTGTATTAAGTCATTCAACATTTTTGTTGAAATGTCAATTTTAATGACCACAAAGAGACGCAAAGTCAGTAAAAACGGGTGCAAAGCAACAACAACTAGACAACTGCAAAACCACTAAAAAGATAAGCACATCACTAAAGAGAAACATCTGAAAAGACTCAAGACAACCACAATAAGAATACAACTACAAACCTAATGACAAAGAACTACAGGGATGCAAAACTAATAAAAAGACAAAATGAGTCAAACTTGATGCAAACCAGTGACAGAGGAGCAATGTGATTAAAGATGTAAAACAACCTACAAGAGACACAAATGCCTAAATCAGACATAACTACGAAGAAACAAAATACTACAAACTCCCATCTGTGATTACTGTTACTGTGTAGACAGTGGCAGTACGTGCCATGTAACCTCCATAACACATGGATAAATTACTGAGGCAGCCTGCTGAATCCGGTTCAGGGGCCCAAGGGGCCCAAGGGATCAGGGGGCCCTGGTCCAGAGCCTCTGTATGATGTATGTGAAAGTCAATCAACCAGAAACAGGACAAAATGAGTCAAAATAGATGAGAAACAGCCACAGAGAGAATCAAGGACAAGCTAAACAACCTCAAAGTCTAAAACAAACAAATCAGACAAAAATAACCACAAAGAGACAAAAGGAAACTAAACGCACGAAAAAGACCAAACAGAGTTGGACAACAAGTACACACAGATGCAAAACTACCAAAAAGAGACAGAACTGTCTTTCATTTGTCCTAATCAGCTTCCATAAACAACCAGCCACAGTGCAATTAAACGTCCCTTATCAACACAAACGTCCGCTTTAACAATGACCTCAGCAGCAGGTGAACACGCACGCAGCCTCACGGGCCATTTAACAAACAGTGACACAATACAACTAAAAACTGTTCGGACTCACCTTGAAGAAGAGGCCACACTGTCGTCCATCACTCAGGTGAAACGGTCCGTGTCATCATAGATCCCGCCACTAGCTAACAACAGGGTCATTTAGCCGTGACGTTAGCTAGCTAGCTAGCTAGCTAGCCAAACAACCGTAGGGGACATTGGCAGCACTTACAAACTAACGCAAGCTAAGAGTAAACGTCTTCACCTACATTAGTGACATTAGTGACGGCTATCTGACGCCGAACGCTCCGATACAAGCTTCAAACTCGAAGCAAAACTTTCCGCAAACCACTGTTTCCCTGCTTGCTAGTTTGCGGGAAAAGACACGTGACCGATGACGTCAGAAGCACAAACGGCTTTGATCTCCAGAGTGAATCCCGTGACTGGTTCAAACAGTCGACACTGCTTAGTAACAAATGATGAAGCGGTTCGATACCGGTTCATTGCTTCATTTGGACATCACTAAACTACATTAGTACACTTTGCTGTGATATCAAAGTGTGGTTCAGTTATAGTATTTATATTGACTCTTCTTGGTCGTTTTGTGTGTCTTTTTGGTATTATTGTGTCTGTAGTCCTTTAATCTATTTTTGTTTATTTTTTCTTTTAGACTCTGATAGTCTTTGTGGTATTTTTTTATTCTTTTTGTTATTTTGTCTCTTTGTAGTTGTTTTGTATCTCTGTATGATTATTTTTTTATCTTTTAGAACATCACTTGGAACATCAAGGTCAAGTCAGTCCTTTTTTTTAAATTATTTCAAGATTGCAGTCCATGCTTTTATCACTTCTAGATGTGACTATTGCAATGCTCTATACTATGGTGTTAACCAGTTCTCTCTCGCTCGTCTCCAAAAGGTGCAAAATGCTGCCGCCAGATATAAACACTGGGGTGACCGTGCTTTTACTGTTGCAGCCCCTAAATTGCGGAATAGTCTACATTTTGTGAGATCAGCTACTGACCTGAGAACATTTAAATCCTTGCTTAAAACATACTCATTTGCCTTGGCTTTTAATACACAGTAGGGCCTGATGCATTCCTTTTAATCTAATTTATTGAATGTGTGTCATCTGTGTGTCTGTGTTATTGTGCTGTTTTATTTTTTGCACTGATCTTATTTATTCTATTTTAGTCATTTATTGTGATTTTATTCTGCCATGTAAAGTATTTTGGTCAGCTGGATGTTGTTTTTAAAGTGCTATATAAATAAATTTAATTTGATTTGATGCCCAGTCTTTAAAATGGCTATCGTCAATATATTTTAACTGTGGATAACATGTGTTTTATGTGTTTATCCAAGCTGTGCATCTCACAGTTCAGTTGCAGTGATGATTTATGATATCTGCTCAGACAGCCTGCATCTTAACAAGACCAATAAGCTCATCGTGATTAATTCGAGCCTTCTTGGCTGCAATACAGTCATGTAATCATGTTGAGGACAAGTAGAGCAGCAGAGGTGTCCGGCTGCAGCGTGCCCACAAGCCAAAAGCTGTTTCAAATTGAGCCAGTGAGTAATGCTGATGAAACAAAATGGCCAAGCTGCAGATCAAGAGCCTTTAACTTTGTGGTCTACTCTGTGCTTCCAAAGTGGGCATGAGGTCAGTGGAAACATTCACTTGTTTAATGAATGGGCCTTTCTGAGAGGGAATCCCTCCTCCCTTCCACTCTGGCTGATGAAATAATGCCAAAGCCCCGTATGATGTGTTGCAGAAGGGTTGATTAATTTGCAACAGTGGTGAAAAGATCCCTAATATAACAAACTGTTCTGCTGTTTGGTAAGTTTATTGTTTTGGGTAAAGTAACTGTTGCATACAGTACTTAGTAAGAAAATATGGGAAAACATCTTTTTATTGTAAACACTGAGATACGGTTTGCATCATTTTGTAGCTGTAGCCGTTGTTTCTCTGGGTAATGATGACACTGTATTCATCAAAATAAATGATTGGACCTTGCAACACTGCAAAAAATGAACAGAAAAAAATACATCTATAATAAAATATATACCATTTTTCCTCAGTTTACCAGGCGACTGACTGGCCAGGGTCAGCCCTCTACACTCACAGCATCAACTTTAGCAGCTTTTAGTAGCAATCGCAGGAGAGGTCGTAGGTCAGGTGGTCCAAACGCTTTACTCAAACTAGAATGTGGTGTGTATCAGCACCACCTTCTTCATGCGTAGACTAACAGACAGTGCTGCAGGGATTGTGTACACATCCAGTCCTCTGTTACAACAATGATCCAAATGCAAAGCAGCATGTTTTTGGTTTGGAATCAATACAGCTGACATTTCCCATGAAAACAAAATTACTATTAGGAAATTAGTGGGAGCAAAAAGACAGTGAAACAGTGGCTGTTCACAGCCTCAGTGTTGGTATTTGTAGCTGCATTGCACTGATCCGCTGAGTAAACCTCTCAGAGACAGAGACAGGGTAGCTCATAAACACAGAGTCTCTCCTGACACTGCTTAAGCTAGAGCTGAGTATCCATGGAGACCAAACCTCCAAAACAGCCACAGAAACACACTACCTGTTCAGAAGCATGTGGTCTGACTGCTCTCTGAGTCACTCCTGGTTTACTTACACTGGACAGTTATTCAGAACTGAACCACCCCGCCATAAATACTGTTACTGGATCAGACCTTTGAAGACCAAAGGATTTACTGTAAATCAGTGTGGGTAAATTCCTACTAGATGACAAGTATACCTTCTCTTTCTTTTTCTGACCTAATTCCTGGTCCAGTAATGTTTGCGTGTGCATGTACAAAGTATGTACAAGTCATACAAATGTCTCAATTTGGATGTTTTTAAACATTACAAATATAGTGAAATATGGAATAAAAAAACAGAATCAGTTGTAGCTAGGCCTGCAGCACAAACAGGACACTGTATTAAATGTGTTTGAGCTCATACGAAGCAACATTTGTGTTTTCTTTTTGTTAAAAAGCATCTTATAAGCTCCATGTTACCAAAGGCTCTGTTTACTCTAAACACACATATTCAAGTGGCAGATGAATTCACTTTAAGAGAGATATTTATTAAACCAGACACAATTCACCATCAGGTGCACAAAAATTTGCATCACTGCCACAAATTTTACACCTGCTTCCTCCCAACCTTAAAAAAACCAAGTCTGTGCATTAGTCTGTGGTGGTAAGCCAGGTGCTGAGGGTGTTTGTATACATTTCCATTCCATTCCTTTATTTTGTGTCTCTGAAGGGAAATGCCTTAAAATACATAGTGCATGAGACCAAACTTTTGTAGTGCAAGATGCCATTACAAGAACACATGCGATTCCACTGTGTAGCACCAAAAAATGAGCAGTGAAATGTTTGTTTTCGATCCTTTCGGTGAATTACTGGTAACGCTCTCGGTATCAAACCAGCTTTTCCAGGCTACACATGGGATCAGGATTTTCTTCAAGGCCTTTAATTCTGACTCACACATGCCGGGAAAAAGATAACAAAACACGAAAGTTTGTGTCATGTATAAATTATTTGCTAGGAGCTTACATGTAAGTCAAAATATTTTCCATAATGGAAGGAGGTTATACAATACAGTGACCGTATTTGCAGTTTCAGTCCAAGAAGTAATCCCCACCATCTGACAAATGTGTTCTTCAGATGGAATAAAAGCAGTGGGGGCGGTCACTGAGAAGATTTTGAGTCATCTCGAGATCGTTCGTTCACTGCCTTGTTACGCTGTTGATGACAGACTTGCTTGTTTTGGGGAAATTTACAGGAATAATTTTTCTAATTTAGACAAGCTGTCATCATAAGTTCTTACAAACAAACAAAGCAGAGTTTCTTCTGAAAGCTGGTGTCACTGGAGGATCAGTAAACGTCAGTCTGGAATTTCCCACTCGCTGATTTTGTCCACATGTGACACAGGTGCTGCACAGACGCTATAATGATTCACAGGATCATGTATTATTCATGTCTGATGAGTTTTCACAGCTTAGTGTGGAACATTTGTATGTATGTTTACAGTTTGATTAAAGGTTTGATGAGATCCAAGGTTGGGCAAGACAATGTGCTAATGTGAATTAAATTAAGAGCATGAGAAGAGAAAATTACAGCAACGTGTGATTGACATTCCCCTGTATCATGTGTGTGAGGGAGAATCAAAGGATGATAAACAACATCATTGGTCATTGTTTCTCGTGTGGTGACTTGATGTGCACTAGTTACTGTGCAGGCAGAGTAGATGACATAATAACTTTATAGTAAACTGTGGATGCATGGACTGGTAAGACTTTACTAACTTCTATGAAACTTAAGTCTTATGTCTTGTCCTTGTTTCTCTTTTTATGACTCAGGTCGTAGTCATGCACTTCCTACTGCTTATCTAGGCCCAGGTGGTGGAGGTAGCGTTCTAAGTATGTTTATCTCTCCAGTCACATCCCCCTGCACTTCCTGAGGGATCCCAAAGACCCAGACCAGGGTCTGCCCCAGGGTCTCCTCCCAGTTTTCATACCCAAAATATGTAGGGGATGTCAGTCCAATAGATGTAGTATTCCCCCAAGTCAAAGCAGTTCTGGTAGTTTGGTTGGTTTGAGATCATTTTTATTTCCTGTCTGTCTCTTCACAGATTTTCACATTTTGTTGTCTGGTTTAACTTCTCTATGGTGGTGGTGAGCAGAGACAATTTCACCTTGGTATGGTCTTGATCCAGCTAATGGATGCTCTCACTCTGGTGGTTACAATGTTGATCTAACAAATGTCCTGGCTCGGTGTTCAGCACTTTGCAAAATATGGTGTTTTTCCATTAGCACAGTTCAGCCCGCTTTTATCAAGTGGACTCCACTCGGCCCTGCTTCCACCCAGAGCGAGTCAAGCCCACTCGGCTCCGCACGATAAAAGCTCCGGCTTCAACAGAGCCGGCTCTTTAAGACACATGATTGGGAATCTTGGGCCAGCAGTTAGACCAAATAAAAACATAAATTATATGTGGGCCCATTTAAGAAGACATTGCAGTTCACTGCCTCACCAACAATAATTCCCTCCATATGGAACAATAATTAATGTCTGAGTAGAAAATCCTGCCCTGGAGTTGATCTCTCTTTAAATAGCTTTGTGGCATTAAGATAGAATTTAGTGGAGACCTTTTGCTTCTGTCAGCAGTAAGTGATCAGCCTGAACGTCACCTAGTGCTTATCTATTGCTCTGTTTACCAGGTTATTGCACAATTATGAATGATGGCTATATCTTTGTGTTTATTTCTGTTATCACTTAGATGTTTTAATATTTTGTCGGGCCGCTTTGGAAGTTGTGTTAGTCTTATTTTTTTGTTTTGACCTATGTGCCAGCATGGTCTTCTTTCTTTCTTTCTTCCACTGATTGATGTGAACTGGCATGATTTCCCAATGAACCGACAAAGCTCTCAATCCAAATAAAATGACAGAATGTGTTCATCCTGGAGTGGCCTAAAAATAATCCACGAACAGAAACTGAGAAATTATGTTCAGCTCCGGGTTGGGTTCGATGAAACTTTGGGCC